TCTTCTTAACTCTTTGAAACATTGATTTTTAAATTGTGAAACGTACTTGTATATACGATCGTGATGACGTGCGCATTGTTTTACCAAATAATTTCCGTCTCCTTTATTGTATTTCAGGCGATGTTCGAGTATTTCGAACTGGCAATAAATGTGAACCAACATCCCGCTGTACAAGGAATCTCCGGCCACGCTCGCGAGGCAACACATCGTCGCAGCTGTAACTTGATGGGCGTACGTAAGCAAAAATGCGAACGCAGAGGAATAATCGTACGGTACCCACGCTCGGAACGTTAATTTCCGATTCTTGAAATCCGTGAGAAAAGATCTCACATATATCCAGAATGCGCAGATTAAAAGTAGACTCGTATAACCGATCGTGTTCCAACTGAAGCGACAATAATTCGAATATACATACAGTCCAAGCGCGCCAGAGTGACACAGTAGTTTCGTTTTTTAAATGGAACTATATATTTTCGTTAAGTTATTCAATAGTGTTTTTCAAAACAAATTCATAAATCTGCAATATGTTTACCCGACTTTTATTAGGTTTCAAGATATTACGCTTACAAGTTTACTGATTTTCAGCGAAGACTCTGCTCGGCTCGGAAAGGCGAACGGCGGTCCCATTCATGGTATTCATGTGGTCACTATTCTCAAGTAGACCTCATTTATACCGCTGAAAAGAAATAACGGGTGTCTATGGTGGAAGTACAAACCACACAATGACCACATGAATGGAACCGTCGCACGCTGTTCACAGTTCCCATTCTGAGGTCTTCTTCATAGAAAATCAGTAAATTCGCAATCGCAATATCTTGAAACTTAATAAAAATCAGGTAGGAACATTAAAAGTGAATGAATTTGTTTTGACAAATACTATCGAATGATCTAAAAAAAGAATATATGTTTAGTTCTACTTAACATGTGATAAGGCAAACTTACTCGGTAATCTTGTCAAATCTCGATCGGATTTCTTGCTCCTTGACGTTCATCGGCAAGAATGGTTTCTTTTGAAGCGTGTCAAACAAAAATAGAACGTTCTTACGACGCATCAGTATTGTAGAAATTTTGAATGATGTGACCAACACGACCAACGTTATGGAGAAGTTGTCACTAAATTCTTCTTGGTTCTCTACGTTGAACACTACGTCTAATATTTGAGAAACCAGGAAACTGTTCAGTAAGAGAAATGGGAACACACCGTAGACACGGTACAAAGATCTTTTGAATGAGGTCGTCCACGAAGAAGGTGGATAGCAGCCGCAGATAGTGAGCAAAAATGATGTCCACCGTAGTATGTGTATTGTTGGTGAAAATTGCTCTTCTTGTTGCTTCATTTTTCTAATTTAGATTTTGTACTAGTGCAAAGTTGAAAAAAATTTGCAATGAGACTTAATATTTAATTATTTAACGAACGGAATTTTATTAACATTCACTCGCTCTTTGAGTTCAGCTATCCAAACTGTGAATGGATGTACGTGACTAGAACGAACCCTTATCTTTGTACCGCGATGTGGTTTCAGACATCACTGACGATGGTGAAATATCGATATCCTGTATGCCCCTCGGTCCGGTATTTTTTCTACCGGAACTTACCCTTCGGTTACGCGAAACGTATTATTATCGTAATAGTCGGTAGTACCATGCGACATATGTACCTAATTTTGTTCTTTAAAAATAATGTTGCAGTCTTTGTGTTTTTCTCCGTATTGCGATCTACCTACTAATCTACATGATACAACAAATATGATATTTCTTAGTGTTTCTCGAGTGAAAGGCACAGTGGACGTCGTCAAGAAATGTTACGTGGAGCATGTCCCTTCACGAATAAAAAACGGGGTGAATATTTAAAATAAGATAATAATTGGGAACTCATGCTAGTCTCATGTTTCGTGATCATTAATAAATCACATTGGCTGCTTGTATCCGCATATGTCCAATCGAGTTTAGAAATCATCCTCGGAGTATTTTGAAACTTTAAATGTAAAAAGAGAATGTGAAACAAATGGTTGAATTGCTCAGTTAGAATTTTGTTTTGTAAGGAAGGAGAATTAAAGAAATGAGAATAAATTTTTGAAAAGATATATTTTCTTATTTTCTATACATTCTTATTTATTCTACTACAGGATATCATCCTTTCTTGATCGAGAATATACGTAACAATGAATGTATAATACAGTATAGTAAATTTTTGTTGAAAACTCGAGATTTCAAGTTACAAAATTCAATATTTTCTGATGAAAATATTATAAGCATTTGAAATTATACTTTGCACCCTACGATTGTCTCCTCTTCCTCTGAAGTAAATTATATGTTGAGTACGACATTTTTAATATCTGTAACAAATTTTCACAAGATATAGTATCTGAATTAATTTCTACGGGTGGACGAAATTAAATTTCTCTACGAACGCTCACGAAAGTGTGTAAGTCTATCGTGAATATGTACGCGCAGGACACTTCAATCGGGATTATGGCTCTTCTCATTATATTTATCAAATTCTTCTTGGTACTATTATCAAGAAACGGCCACTCCATTTCGAAAATCGTATTTGCGACCTCGACACTCTACGTTAATAAGAACATTTAGAATAAGAATATTCTCTCTTATAATTTCTAACTTTTTGATCGTGTAGAAACCCGGAGAAGTACCTTTAATTTGAGTTGATTTCCGTACCAGCAATAAAAGAAAATCTGCGTCATCATACAGGCCAGGTACAGAACGAATTGTAAGTATTTGTAGCTAACAAGCGGCGTATTTGCTAATTCATATAAAATAAAACAAACCACCAAAGTGCTTGATAAAAGTTGAATGCCTATTATTATCGTGAATTTCTTCTTCATTTCGATAACGTATCTGTCTTAAAACAAAATCTGTATGTATTAAATATCTTTCAGACAAGAATTCATTATTGACATAACTATGTGATTGAGACGATCGCTTGTAAGTATTAATATAATTTTATTACAAATTATAATTTAGTAAATTTTGACAGCCCTCAAACAATAAATGCACTAACCCATATAAATAGTTGTGAAATCGTACAATTTTTCCAATGTCTGACCTCGATTCTTTCGTAATTTCTCTTAATCTGCAGCTCAATATTTCTTGTTGGCTGCATACATGAACGAAGAGTCCGCAAATAATCACATCGCATGCCACGTTCAATAGCGACGTGCTGATCAAGGCGATGATTTGATGAACATAAGCAATATAATAGTACTTTCGTATAGAATAATCGAAAGGTAACCACGCTTTGTACGCCAATTTTTTATCTTTGAAGTCGGTGAATAAAGAGGACAGAATCATAGAAATAACCGTTGCCTCTACTAGAATCGTGTAATAAATTGTAATGGACCTGCAAATCGTTTACAAATGATGATCATACGATTTACTTATTCGTAAGAATTGTTCGTATAAAATGGACACATTTTTTTATTTAAACAACTAATAAACTCGTATAAATAGTTCGTCAATAATTAATTACCAAATGTCATTAAAAAATCAGTAATCTAATAAAAGTGTCAAAAATTAATTATGCCACAGCAATGAATAACGAAATGAATGCTAGAAATTATCTTCACGTATCATTCGTTTACCCAATGTTCTTGTCGAATTTATTCTGAATCTCGATCTCTTCTTTGTTCACTGGTTTACAGGGCTCCTCCTCCAGCTTTCTTCTAAGAATATGAATTGCTTTACGATTTATTTGAAGCGTGGTGAATTTGCAGCAGGCAAGAAAATTCGCGATGAACATATACAAATTATCACTTAACTCGTCCGGCGATCTTACATATAATATCAGATTCATAAACTGCGATATGCAGAAACTGTAAAGCAAAAGGAACACGAAGATCGTGTACAACGTGTATAGCATCTTTGCGTATGTTTCTCGATACGAAGATGGTATCCAGCATCCACAAATAATTAATATATTAAAAGCTGGTTGTAGAACACCCATTCTTCATACATCGGGAAGGAACGTTTTGTTTATTTTTTATTGTTCGTTTGATTTAGTACACAAAAATGTTTATCACTTGTTTATTACCTTATTACTTACTACTTTTAAAATTAAATTTTAATCAACACGAAATTGAATCCTATTTGTCAAATACGTATCCATATAGCAAATGAAGAGTAAAGGACATTGCTTGTAAGTATTGAAGTCTCGAAAAATTTTTATAAAATACTGGTTACTGTAGATAATCTGCGGCACTGCGTCTTTAGAGATACATATGTAGCTTTCTTTTGAATAAGAAAGTGACATTGTACCCTGTCGTCTATCTATGCACGCGGCCTGTCATTATCGTAATGTACATCATACTGCGAACCCGTTTGTAAAGTTACATTTTTTCGTATTGTCATGCGTAACCGTTTATCATAGAGGTTTTCATCATTCATTATGTGTCTGCTACATTGTTTATTTACACGAAATCGATTTTCTTGTACGGAGTAGTGGCAGTTTTACTACAGAGAGATCGTAGACAAGACGTGAAGAAAGCTAAGACCGAGGGCTTTGGAAAAGAAATATGAACTATACGGTGTGATTTTATTTAATTTCATAATTTGTGTCAATTTGTGTCAAAATTAAAGATTTATATGATTGTAATCGAAATTCTTATGTTTAATGTCATTGCAAAGTACGGAAGCCTTAATTATAAAAGTTAAGTGACAAAAAGGGTGTTTCAAACTTAAAATAAAATAAATATTCAATATTACAGAATAAATTTTGCATTTATTTGTTAATTACAAATATATGAATTGTACATGTACGATATTTCTTCGTGTTGAGGTTGAAGATACAAGTGTCTTATGAGAATATGTGCTACTTTATTTTGAGATGTACTTAAAAAATAATTTTATAACAAGTTTTTGTACAATTCAATTGTAAGTAAACTAATAATTATTAATTATACAATTGCTTATTTCGCTTATACTAATCGTATGCTTAATTGGTTCCGTCTGGGCGCGATCTTCCAGTCACTTTCGGCATTTTTTTGTTCGTAGAATCTTCTAATTCTTTAGGCTTGTAATAATGGGGGGCTACCTCTAATAGCCATTTGCTCTCAATTTCCGTCACCTGTCGCATAAATTCTTTCGTGGTGAAGACCAATTCGTGATAAAGCAACCAACGCGGTAGCTCTTGGAACAATGAACTATTTGGATGAATCGATACTGTTTGATTGTGTTTGGCAGTTTTATAGTGACCCCCTTTTGACAATCGCGCCACGTGATAAAAATATCCAGCCGTAATAGCCTGAAATGGAATGAAACACCATTACCGATATTCTTCAGTACTATTTTGTTCCATCTTACAATGTTTCCTTTACTGACCTTTCTGATATTCATTGTTTCCGTGATGCCCGATACGAGTTCCATTTCGACTCGTTGCATAAGTCCCACTAATTGTTCCCTAACGTCTCTAGCTCTTTTCATCGACCGATGTTGAATGAAATTCTCATAACACCAATGCGTACTGAAGTCACTTTGTTGCCACTGATTATACACGTTTAATAACGTTAAATGATCACCACCAGGTACATGGAAATTCTTCCGGGCCGTGTCTGCATGAATAATCTTATCTTTCGGCCTGTAGAAGATGGCTCCGTTCACCGATAACATAGCAGCGATCGTGGCTACTTCTTCCGAGCAACGGTATTGTTCGCTGGCTAGGAGCATCTTCGCCATCATGGGATCCAATGGAAATTCGGCCATTCTTCGACCGAGTTTCGTCAACTCGCCTCGATGATTCAAAGCTCCTAAAGCGTATAATTGTTCTAAGGCTAAAACTAAAGTTTCATGCGGAGGCGGATCTAAGAAGTCGAAATGAACTAGATCGTTTATCCCGAGAGCTTTTAACGTTAAAACAGCATTCCCTGGAATTTAATAATCAAATTACGCAAAACACGTTCATAACACAAAAAAAAATTAGTCCAACTTTTTTTATCAAATACCGAGATTGATCCTCTGAATTTCAGGCACTGTATTATCTTCGAGTTCGTGTTGATACGCCCAAGCTGTGTACAATCTGAAGCATTTTCCCGGTGCTACTCTTCCAGCACGGCCGGCACGTTGATTGGCAGACGCTTTGCTTATTGGTACAACCATTAAACTCTCCATGCCTGTACGAGAATTAAAATTATTCTGCTTCGCGAATCCGGGATCTATTACGTATACTATATTGTCTATAGTTAACGACGTTTCTGCTATATTAGTAGCGAGAACTACCTGTGACAATGTAATTAAATCACTTACAGTTACTGAGATAGCAGATAAAAGGCGAGAAGGAAAGAAAAGATAATAATTCTATTTTACGTACTTTTCTTGCTCTAGGTGGAGTAGGCTGAAATATCTTCGCCTGCATATCGCTCGGTAGGTTCGCGTAAACAGGTAAAATTAAAAGTTCTGATAATTTTGAACCTAATCGTCTCACTCTCTCTTGCAACATTTCTTGACACGTTTCTATTTCATCTTGACCTAACAATAATTTATCACGATGTTTCAAATTAGAGTGTTCATATAAGAAGATACTTTTGTATAAATCAAATGATTAAAAGAAAAATTACCTGTTAAGAATACTAAAACATCACCGTGCGGTTGCGTTGCATGTATCTGGAGAATAGATACAACACAAGCATCGATATAATCTGCTTCTGGTGCCTTGGTATAATAAATATCAACAGGGAAACGTCGACCAGGTATCCGAAAAATCGGCGCATCGTCGAAGAACTCGCTAAACTTCGTAGCATCCAACGTGGCGGACGAAATTAGTAGTTTTAGATCTGTTCTAAACCTTGTTATATCTTTTACCAATCCGAACAAGATATCCGTATGCAAAGTACGCTCGTGTGCCTCATCGATGATCATGACACTGAAAGCAATGCCGTTTTGCTAGAGCAACTGCAAGAAGTTCATTGAAATTTCACAATTAATTCGAACTATTAATCCGAATTAATCCGAATATAATAAATTTTATCGTAATTTCATGTATTAGTACATATGATCAATTACTTTGAATCCGATTAGTAGATGCATACCTGTAAGAGGCCAAATCCGGCTCACTGAGGAATTCGCGGTGTAACGTGCCATCGGTCATGTACTTAATGCGAGTACGATGCGATGTGCAGTCCTCAAACCGAATGGCATATCCAACCTCGTTACCTAATTTGACTGCCATTTCGTGAGCGACTCTAGCTGCCACGGACATAGCAGCTACTCTTCGTGGTTGTGTACAACCAATAATTTTGTTATTTTCTGCGAACCCAGCTTCATATAAGTATTGTGGAATTTGAGTAGTCTTGCCCGAACCCGTTTCTCCCTCAATAATCAACACCTTTAAACAGTCAATTATAATTAATGTTATAAACGTCTTTCATGCATTATGTGATTCTGTAGAATACCTGATGATCTTTAATAGCTTGGATTAGATCATTTCTGAAAGGATAAATTGGTAAACTCTTCTTGGTCTCCTGTATAGTTTGCAATGCCTTCACTTGCGGGGGTGGACTATGTTCGTGTTTCCTATCTTTCTCACTGCCAGGCATACGTAATGCCTGAACAAACTCTACTTCATCCTCTAACAAGAGATCGTAATCCTGTTGCGCTGCAGAATAATTGAAATAATATTAATTGAGAGTTCAAGTAACGAGTGAGAGTAAACGGAAATTGTGGATTATAAGTACTATGTACCTTTTCTGTCTTTGGCACCAAACCGGAAAACAGCAGAAGACATTTGATCAGATTCCCATTTACTTTGCTCAGATTGTGGCGGTTCATTATCCTGTGTTTCAGGTTCTGGTTCAAGTTTCCCTTTTTCCAAGGGCATATGATACCGTTGCACCCTTTCAAGTTCTCTGGCTTTCTCATGTTCTTTGGCTAATTGCAGAAGTTGTTTCTTATGTTCCCGTTCTCTTCTTTCCCGCTCTGTTAATCTAATATTTCAAAAGATTTGTTAGTTTAATCGTACCATCTAGTTATTCTGCGACTAGAGACCTGATTAAGAAATTACATTTCTTCCTCGAATAAATATTCGTCATCAATTATATCAGCCTCCAATTCAGCCACCTTATCTTCTTTACGTTTCTCTAAATATTTCCGGCGGGATTCAACACGCAACTTTGGTACCAGTTTCTCTCGCATATCTGTTTCCATAATCTTAAGTCTTTTGGCTGCCTCAGCTATTTTCAAAATAATGATTATAACAATGAGTCTTCATACTGAAGAATTGTTTAGCTTAGTTCAATTTTGATAACAGAGTCAATTTTCAAGAAAAATTGACCAATATAAGACGAATTATTTACCTGCTCCTGAACCAGCTGGCATAGCCACTTTTCGTATTTTGCTCTCATCTTTTGCCTTCAGACGATTAGCAAATTCGTCTCTCTCCTTGATATCTTTTTTACGTCTTTCCTCTTCACTGTCGCTATCCTCGCTCGAGGATTCTTTCCTTCTATACTTGCTCATTCTGCGTTTTGTCTCAGAGACAGGTTATGCTTTTTAATCTCAAGAAATCACAACAGAAAAATATGAAAGATAACTATTGCTTTCTTTCTCATCTATAATCAAACATCATCTTGATTGTATGAGAAATGAATTACTGTTCATTCCATCATAATTACAAGCATTAAAAAACCCAGAACAGAGTGCTTTTGTTCGGGGTTAATTTGTACTCCAAAATAAATTTAACACTTCTCAATTGATATTCGTTCGATCGCATGTGGTTTTTGGCAACGAATTAACACAGAACGAATCTGAATAATTGTCATAGAAGACAAATGAAAAAACTATTTAATTATAATAAAAATAATTATTCAATTGGTCCTGAGTTGATGATTCTGCTGGCACCTCGCAATGTTCGCCATGCTACTACCACTATCACAAATACCACTACCATGCTACACAATACAGTTGCAGGTTTACAGTACTAGACTGCTACACAAACACAAGAGGATGTGAGTAGCGCATTGCGTTGCCGGGCAACGCGCGTACACCACGCTACACAATGATACATGCACAGTGTGCGTGAGTTCATTCACTAACCCAATAACAGTAACCCATTGAGTACTTCGAGGCCGTTCGAACTTCGAAGTATAAAATAGCTGGAAAGGTTTTGTCCATAATACTTATACATATACAATAAGTTAACGCGACGCAACAATGCCGGTGTATAATAAATTTGTATTTTTTTCAATTAAAAGTCAAAATAATTCTTATAAATCTATGTCAAATTGTTAAGATATAATTCTTTATATTTGATTACGAATTAAATTTATTGTTTTAAATTATTTAGATATAAATGATAATAACGAAATACTAAAGATTATTGAAAATCTGTTGAGGAAGGTGAACATAGACAATTATTAATTTTTTATATAGTACACATAAATTATTTTCATTTAAAATTTATTTGTAGAAGAAATGTATGTCACTGCGATAACGCGAAATATACATACATGTATTAATCAGAAGCCAAAAAATATTTTGAGATACGATCAAAGTTCGACCAATTTCAAAATTGATCGATTCTACAACCACAATACGTATATTTCACACATACGCCATAAAGAATGATAGATAACAGACACTAAACAGAGTCGATCCTTGTCTCGAATATATTTTTTATTATACATACATTAATGAAAATATATACATGGTAGACTGTAGCTTGTCGAAGCAGCGAAATGTCAATGTATAATCAGCTACAGTATTCATAGATGAATCTGTACGTGGATCCTAGCTTGTTTTCTGCAGGTTCCTCTATTCCGACATTCTCTTACTTTCTCTTTCAATTAAAAGCAGAGATTGTCGTGATTTTAGTAGGCACGTGTAGGCCGACACGTGTAGACCATTAAATGTGTTATATATTCAGACCAATAATTCAATGAATCCCGATTTTAGTAACGAGATTGTTGTTTTCTGTTTTATTTGTTAAAATACGATTTCGAAACGGAAATAATAAATGGTATATATATACGAATAGGTGAAACACATAATCGAGATATACAATTTAATATTTGATACTTTCGCTGGCTTCGATTATTAAACATCTGAATTCTTTATCTCTCTCGCTCACACCCTCTTTTACTCTCATCCTTTCTACCATACCTAATATTTTTTTCTCTCTCTAACGTTCTTTCCCTGTCTCTTTGCTATTCTACTGCACAGCCAAACACTTACTCGATCACACAGCTTAAGAAGCTTCATCTTATTTCTCTTCGTCTAACATCTTTCATTTTTCCTGTTCGTTTCTTTCCATTGCGACAGTTCTTTAAATTTTTGTTACAGCACGATCTCTGTTTACGGCGACGTATTGTATATCATTATTGCAAGTGGACTGTAACACTACAGTCTATGAAAAACTCTTATTTGATCCTCTTGCCTCTTCCTTTGCTTTTCGTTCTTTCTCCACTTTCATGATAAACGAATTCCACTGTAACATCCCGTTGGTAGAACGATTGCGATCTCTTAAACCCCAAGCTACGGGATTACTGAGAGGCTCTTCCGAATTGCAATACATGCATGTATTAACATAACGAGAATCGATTTTATTACATTGGACATACAATTTGTTTCTTGATTCGTGAACCGTATATTGTCCACAACCGATTTGGTTAAAATCACGCAAAAAAGTTCGATCAAAGGATTCACTAAAATATCATTTTTTCGAATGATTATAAAAATTACAAAACCATAAATCTTGTCCCTTCCCTCTTTTGTTATCGCAGACAATTTTGTTTAATTATTCATGAATGCACGGTTGTCGGGTATTCGACGAGTTTCCTTTCAGCCAGAAATAAGGGTTTGCTCGAAAATTCTTAATGGCTGGCATATGAGAGTCTTTATTATTCTCTTTTTAATTTATACATCCTTCATCATATCGTAAGTATTCATGGAATTTAGACTACGACGCAATTATATGTATAATTTGTAAGTTCTGCGGCGATTCAGGCACTGCGATTGACTTCATATTTTTTACGTGAACTCGATCGAACGAAGCGACAGTCGTGCATGCGTTCACAATTTTATCTGTCTCTTCTTTATTTTATTTTATTTTATCATTTGATGGGAGTTTGGACAACGTATTACTAGAACCATCGTCAATTTAGTTTAGTGAGACGCGGAAAAAATTAAAGAGCAAGTTTCGCGAGTATACCGGGTAGAGTACCGTTATTGTTCGCCTGTCCCTCCGTATTAAAAACTGTTCTAAAACACATTTGCTGATTCCGTTTTTGTGCACCGCTAGAAAAAAAATATTAACGAAATAGCAAATTACAATGATCACGTTATCTCTCTCTAACGATGACATGCAGCGTATAAAATATATTTTATTTGTATATTTATATTTTTTTTTACTGCATTTTTTATCTTAATATATACTTTTTATACATTTATATTTGTGTATATATATATAGTTGTTTTATCGAATATTCTTTGTTTACACGCTATATATTAAATATATATGCAGTGTACGTTCTTCTTACGTACTAGCAAGATTTAACAATCGATACTTTGTTTTACTCATTGTCAGCGTAATAACAGGTTTTTGACGTGATCGTATTTACGTAGGGGTCTTCGTCGAAACAACCGGTAGGAGAGAAACGGAGTGCGTCATGTGGCAATTCTATTGCACTTGGGAATGGATCATCAATTTTTCCGTCACCAACGTTCATCTGTAGCCTGGATTTATTTTTCGAAACACATGATTATCCCAGATGACAGATAAAGCTCTTACATCATAACCGATTAACCGATCATATTGTGATCATAAAAAATGCGTGGAACCCGAAGATTCAAGGGGAATTCTCTTCATTAAAAATTCTTCATCTTCTTCTTAGTTTTTTCTACGCGTGACAGGCGTAAAGATGAGACTCAAATTTGATGATGATTATTGTTGTTATACACGTTTTGTTATCTTGGAGTCCAGACTTTCAAACGATAGACATTGCATTAAGTTCGGTTCTCTTCTTTTAAGTAACTAGAATACGTGTAGGGTCCGCGTATTTTGCTTTGTTTACTTTTATTTGCTTTGAGGGACAGGAACGAATGAATTTGTTAATTTCTTCATATTATTTCATCTAATCGTAAGTGTATCCAAACACACTTTATACAACTTATCACGTTTCTCATATGCCATTGTTATGTAAACCTAGGCTTAAAAAGTAAAGAATGGCCAGCGGAATCGGTCACTGGACCCGAGTGAATGGGCTTAATTCAACGTATCAATGCTTTGATTCGTTTTGTCAGTCTGTGCTCTCCTAGTCCATGAGAAATTAAAAAATGAAAAATAAAGAAACAAAATCGAACAAAAGGAGACAAAAACGAGAAAAAGTATATACATATATGTACATATGTATGTATGGGCCGTTGAAAGATGTAATATGGTATATACATTTCGGACTCGATAAGCGTGATTCATGGACTGTTGACTGTCCATTCGTTGGCTCATCCGTGAATTCTCATAAAATGCATCATAAACATGTCACCATTAAGCGCCGGTGGCAATTAAACGGAAGTTTTGAAGATGATAGATGCACAATGATGCATTCATTTCTCTATTTCCTGTGCTATTCTTCTTGTTCTCTTTTCAGTTCCCTCTTCATAAAGGAGTCCTATTATCTCCATCATATTTCTCGGTGTCGTTCTTGTTTTAAGTGTACTTTGCCTGTGACGTTTCGTCGAAAGGAAAAATTCGTAGTTGTCGCAGTTACCCGTCGCGCGTGTGAGATCGTGAGGTTCATTCGTATTAGACCTGAACAGGAAAAAACGTTTCCCATTCGAAGACACGAACTGTTTATGTTAATGTTTAGTTTAAACGATTGACGGTACGTTTCCTTACAGTGCCACGGCAGGATTAAAAAAATCTGCGATTATCCCTGCGGTGCTCGCGTCTTCTTATTTCTTCTGTCTCTCCTCTTTTTTTGTATTTTTTGAAATTATTTTCTATTTTTTTATCCTTTTTATACATCAAGCTTTCTCTGTTTCTTATTTTGTTTCTTCTCTTATCAATAATATTATAATAGGCAGTGTTCGTTCGAGAAACTGCTACAGGAACACACACACGTATTTGTACACGCACACACACGCACACATGAATCGTCAATAGAAATTGAGTGTTTAGATTCTAGACTCTAGAATAATAGCACGGCGTTTATACGTAGCTTGAAACCTGCTCAATGTGACATCATCTTTTCTTATTTCAATCTTTCCTATCTCATTATTCAGATTTCAGAAAAGTGTTACATATTGTTGGACGCATTATTGTGTGCCGTTATCGCTCGGAACGGATCGCGAGTTCTTTTCGTTTAACGATAGCATGTCTGTTTAGACGAAGAGAATGCGTCGTACTAAAAAAATATATGTGTGTGTATATATATATATGTGTGTATATATATATATAATACATACATGAATGTATATATGCTTATCGTTTTGTTTCAGATGGAACATCCAACCACGAGAATATCGGGCTCGCGATCGATACGTATGATCGTATTGGCCCGCACATGAGCGAAACGTGCCCCGTTTATGAAAAGAAATTTCACGCTCAATTATCACGTAGAAAACGTTTTCTACAATGTTTTCGTCGTTATCGAATCAACGAAACCCGAGATTCTTCTCCTTCGATAAATGATCGCGCTCGTGATGAACTGACAGCGATTGTGTAACAGCGACCATAAAAAATCAATAGAGTTCCAGCAATAGGAACGATATCATTGTACACCGCGGCAGTGTCGAACAGCGGTGATGGAAACAGTTTTATAGTGAGCGGTAGTAGTAGCGACACACATTAGCAATAATTACAGTAAGTAGTGAGCTTTTACGTGCGCGCGTGTGGTGTATGTGTGTTTGCGCCTATATATTTAGGTGACGTTGATGTACTGTTCTTTTGTACTCGTTGCCTATGTTGCGAGTCGAATCGGTGAAATCTGTCGAAGTATTCGCGATTTCATTCACGACAAGGCTCGTTCTCACTGTTAACGATTGGTGACCAGAATCCACGGCCTGGCAACCGGAAGAAAGAAGGTTCCACGTTTGCCGTGAACTGGCGACCAACGTAATTAAGGATCCACCGGCATCGTGGTGCATCGGACGATTTGCATCAGAGTCACTTTTATGTGGAATCACAGAATGACGCAACATCGGCAATATCGTTGCCGAGATGCTCCGGCACTTGGCGGCGGTGTCACCGGCGCGAAGTACGCGTGGACTTTGATGTTTGGCAAATGCGTCTAGAACAAGATGCCCATTTGGGTTCGTTAATGGAAAGAGCGAAAGGAAACTATTATTGGATTGTTGTTAGACGGAAGCTTAAGATAACACTAGTTTTCTCATGATAAAAAAGAAAATAAAATTAAATTAGAGTAACAAAATACGTAATCTGTACAAACAACAACCACCTTCTATCAATGAATATTAAAAAATCTCAAGCTTTAAAAATTTTTCCTCAATAAATAAAGGCATTGTAGCCTTTAGATCGCTAAGTGCGTAAAATATAATATTGCAGGAGAGGATAGATAAAATTCATAATTCATGATACCGTACTCTGAGTCTACGTATGCCAGCTCTGGTGATTAGTTGACAGTCGTAAAGCTCAATGCGCTCGAGATTGTGGCAGGCCTGAAGGAGGTGATCCAGACTGGCGTCTGTGATGAGAGGGCAGTTGTCCAATTCCAGCACCGCCAGATGTTCCGCTGCACACGGCGAAAGAGCCAACTGTCGGATGCCTTCATCGGTGATTAGTTCGCAATGGGACAAACTCTGCAGACATTATAATATTGGTACAAAAAATGAAAATTTCATGTTGTTAATTAAGAATAAGATTTTCACGATATTATAGACAGAAGTAAATGTGAACGGTAATATATACTATACTGTAAGAATGATCTTCACTTACCAATTTCTCCAATCTGGGACAGCCCATTGCTAGGTAAATCAATGTGGCGTCAGTTATTAGAAGGCACTCTTCCAAGTCCATCTTCTCGAGTAATCTGCAATTCTGAAAGTCGAAAAGGATGACGTGTTGAGAGAGTACTATTGGGTCATATTAAAAAGCCGCATAGCTAGTCATCGAACTCACTTTCGCGAGAGCTTGGAAGCCGGCGTCGGTGAAATGAGTGCAAGCCACGCATTCAAGCACGCTAATAAGTGGACAGTGCTGCGCCAGTGTGACCAGGGACGCATCCGTTAAATTCGGACAATTCGATAGGCAAACGTAATGTAATCGCGGACTTCGTTCACTGAGTTCCCTAACTGCGTCGTCCGTTATATTCTGAAATGAATCTGTTTTCATAGCCCACATTCCAAGGCTTAGTGTCTAGATTTGAACGTCGTGGTAAATTTTATATAAATGCACAGATTACAAAAAATATTGTTACTGCACTATATTTAACCCACGCGTATCCTTAACACATACTCGCAACCTGTTGTTACGATATAGTGTGTAGGTATCACGGACTATGTTTACGGTTTATAAAATGTTATGCAAAAAAATAGTGCATTATCAGAAATCAATATTTTTTGTAGCAAAATATACCATCGAAGATATCACTTAAAATTCATTGCGACGCTCAAACTGTACTGGTATGCACGCTCGTATGTTTTTTATCCGTCAAAATAATTACGTGCTTTACAATGGTTCAATTAAATTACTTAAGGATGTATAGGCTATACAGTCAATTCCAAAAGTTTATGTACCTTAGAAAAACGCATTTTCTATGATTAAAAACAAATCAGACGTCTGAAGAACAATGCTAATAATAAATAGATACGTGCTAAAAAGTATAGAAGGAAATATCCAATTAATTATTGACGTATATACAAAAGTTGTAGCTATTGACGTGCTCTACACAAAAGGTTTTATGCACTTTTCTTCTAATTTCGATATTTAATGAATTACATATGAT